CAAATTTGATTCATATTTGCAAATTTGATTCATATTTGCAAATTTGATTCATATTTGTACATTTGATTTGTATTTGTAAATTTGATTCATACTTGTAAATTTGATTTGTACTTGTAATGTGGCAAAGTTGTAAAAAAATGTACGTTTATAGACTTAGATGTACAAATTATAGACTTTAACACATACTGTACAATAATTCTGACAGTTATCTTATCCCATACAGAGCTGACTAAACTAAGAATAAAAGACAAGAAACACAAAGATTAAGGCTACAAATCTGTAGAAAGCTGAAAACTAGAAGGAAGCTTTAACTGTTTGTGACATGAAATTCCTGAAAGCAGCCTGGCTGCTGCTTCTGGATCCTGGACTGAGATTGTTTTACACACTGAAATGAACTTCACACTCTGACGTTATGAGCTCTGAGTTCTGAGCTGTGAGTTCTGAGCTCTGAGCAGATCCTGGAGGTTTCTCACAGATGATTCTGGCGGCATAACTGCAGGGAAAATCATTCCAGGTCTGCAGATCACCATCTGCTCTGTCTACTTTTAAAGCCGCACAGTCTTCTCCATCAGGAGGATTTCCCATATTGTTGGGCTCTCCGTTGATCCAAAAACTTAAATAAAAACATTAAGAACAGTAAAAACAGGTTATTTTAACTCTGACAGAACTCAGTTTATTTTGTCAAGTAAACTAAAATGTTCTACTTCATAAAATAGACCTTTTATCCAGAGGTGATCTGTCCACCCACAACCAGCTGCCTTCTGTCTCTGAGTCCGTCAGTCCGATCCAGAACCAGTCTCCATTCATCTTGTCTCTCAGTTTTCTCATCAGGAACTCCTGAGTAGTAAAAGATGAAAATATCTCTGAGACTTTCCCGACATGAAGAAACTTGATGAAGTGATGAAATGTGTGAGAACATGAACCTGCAGCAGTGTTTCATACCTGCTCCTCTCTGCTGTCGATCTTCACCAGGTCTCCTCCAGCAATTCTGCAGGAACTTCTGCTGTCCTGCCAGGCGAGTCCACGGGAGCTGAAATAATAACACTTTCCTCCATGAGACTCCCAGCCTGCTTCACACTGCAGATATGTTGGATCTTTAAAACASATGAAAGCTTCACTGAGTCAGGAGGAAGAAATGTGTGTTGATGTTTGTGTGATTTGGAGGCAGCAGGAGGCGTCTTCTGTCCTGCAGTTACAATCTAACTTCCTGTATCTGTCAGTCCAACAATGTTTCTGTAAGACCATTACAGGACAGGAAGGYCACAAACACTACATCCTCTACTTACTGTGACTTTCAGGAGGAGGACATGAAGGAGGAGCAGGACATGAAGGAGGAGCAGGACATGAAGGAGGAGCAGGACATGAAGGAGGAGGACATGAAGGAGGAGGAGGACATGTTGGCTGAACTCTCATGATTATTTCTGTTTTAAAAAATACAACTAGATTAAATTTGTCTCATTTCTATTGAAATGAAACTGAAAGTTGAAAAAAAAAAGACGTTGGTCCTGACAGAACTGAGACTTTCAGCCTGAACCTTGTGGACTCTTTCAGTCCCTGACAGTCTCACCTGAGAGGTTTTTCTTCAGAGCATCATTCTCCTCTCTCAGGCTTTGAACTGATTGATTGCTCATCAAAATAACAACAGATTAAAAGAAACAATAAAAAACAGTAGTTAGTTGATAGTAAATTAAATTCAAGACATTGTGATTGTTAACACTGAATCACCGTGTGTTACCCTGAAAACCTTTATTTTACACATGGTTTCTGTTCTTAAACTCACAGAGTCTGATGTTAATGATGAGAGCAGCAGCCAGCAGAACACAGAGAACCAGCAGGACCACTGGCTCTGATGGAAGCTTGGAGTTCCTCTTTGGTTTTTCAACAGCTTCACCTGAGGAGCATTTAGAGGAGAATCACATCAAGAGACAGACTCCTAGCATCCAACCAGCATCCAACCAGCATCCAACCAACCAAACATCCAACCAACCACACATCCAACCAACATCCAACCAATCACACATCCAACCAACCAAACATCCAACCAACCACACATCCAACCATACATCCAACCAATCACACATCCAACCAACCATACATTCAACCAACCACAAGTCCAACCAACCATACATCCAACCAACCATACATCCAACCAACCAAACATCCAACACATCCAACCAACCATATAGCCAACCAACCATACATCCAACCAACCACTCATCCAACCAAACATACATCCAACCAACATCCAACCAACCACACATCCAACCAACCAAACATTCAACACATTCAACCAATCATTCATTCAACCAACCATACATTCAACCAACCATAGGTCTAACCAATCACCCATCCAACCAAACATACATCCAACCAAACATACATCCAACCAAACATACATCCAATCATCATCCAACCAACCACACATCCAACCAACCATACATCCAACCAACCAAAATCCAACCAACCAAACATCCAATCAACATCTAACCAACCACACATCCAACCAACCACTCATCCAACCAACAACACATCCAACCAACCACACATCTAACCAACCATAATCCAACCAATCAAACATCCAATCAACATCCAACCAACCAAACATTCAACCAACCACACATCCAAACAACAATATATCCAACCAATTATACATCCAACCAACCAACATCCAACCAACCATACATCCAATCATCATCCAACCAACCACACACCCAAACAACCAACATCCAACCAACCATACATCCAATCAACATCCAACCAAAAATCCAACCAACCACACATCCAACCAACCAAACATCCAATCAACATCCAACTAACCAAACATCTAGCCAACCACACATCCAACAAACCACTCATCCAACCAACCACTCATCCAACCAACAAAATATCTAACCAAAGATACATTCAACCAACCACACATCCAGCCAACCACTCATCCAACCAACCACACATCCAACCAACCACACATCCAACCAACCATAATCCAACCAACCAAACATCCAATCAACATCCAACCAACCACACATCCAACCAACAATACATCCAACCAATCATACATCCAACCAACCATATATCCAACAATATATCCAACCAATCATACATCCAACCAACCATACATCCAACCATATATCCAGCCAATCATACATCCAACCAACCACACATCCAACCAACCACTCATCCAACCAAAAAAATCCAACCAACCATATATTCAACCAACCACACATCCAACCAACCACTCATCCAACCAACCACACATCTAATCAACCATAATCCAACCAACCAAACATCCAATCAACATACAACCAACCAAACATCCAACCAACCACACATCCAACCAATCATGCATCCAACCAACCACACATCCAACCAACAAAATATTCAACCAACCATACATCCAACCAACCACACATCTAACCAACCATACATCCAACCAACCACACATCCAACCAATCATACATCCAACCAACCACACATCCAACCAACTAAATATCCAACCAACCANACACATGGTTTCTGTTCTTAAACTCACAGAGTCTGATGATAATGATGAGAGCAGCAGCCAGCAGAACACAGAGAACCAGCAGGACCACTGTCTCTGATGGAAGCTTTGAGTTCCTCTTTGGTTTTTCAACAGCTTCACCTGAGGAGCATTTAGAGGAGAATTACATCAAGAGACAGACTCCCAGCATCCAGCCATCATCCAACCATCATCCAACAAGCATCCAACCAACCAAACATCCAACCAACCACACATCCAACCAACATCCAACCAACCATACATCCAACCAATCACACATCCAACCAACCATACATCCAACCAATCATACATTCAACCAACCACAAATCCAACCAACCATACATCCAACCAGCCATACATCCAACCAACATCCAAACAACCAAACATCCAACACATCCAACCAACCATATAGCCAACCAATCATACATCCAACCAACCACTCATCCAACCAACCAAACATTCAAGACATTCAACCAATCATACATCCAACCAACCATACATTGAACCAACCACAAACCCAACCAACCATACGTCTAACCTACACATTCTCACTCCCAAGTCGTCACATATTGACGCTTTTCCAAAGGTTCCCTCTGCGTCGTATTTTGACGCATCAGGTGCCCCCCTCGCGTCAGTCCTTGACGCCCGCGGCTTTTCCGGGTTGCGCCACCAGGGGTCTTTGCGTTGGGGGTCTGAGGTTAACATGAGGGATCAGGATTAATGGTTAAGTTTAGGTACTGGGATCAGGGGTAGGATGTCCATGGTGAATATTTGGTCATTTTACGCTTTAGAACACGTTGACGTGAATTTCGTACATTTTCTAAAAATGTTAATTTTAGGTACTACGGTCAGGGACAGGATGTCTAAAGTGAACAAATGTAATTTCAGGCTTTGGAACGGTCCTTTTCGCGCATTTTATACACTTTCTGAAAATATGACAACAGATTTCGCCCCATCTCGTCAGTAACTGACGTGACGGGGGTACCCTGCGCGTCAAAATCGGACGTAGAGGGAACCTTGGAAACGCGTCAATATGTGACGACTTGGGAGTGAGAATGGGTTGGTCTAACCAACCACTCATCCAACCAAACATACATCCAACCAACCATACATCCAATCATCATCCAACCAACCACACATCCAACCAACCAACATCCAACCAACCATACATCCAACCAACCAAACATCCAATCAACATCCAACCACACATCCAACCAATCATACATCCAACCAACCACACATCCAACCAAAAAAATATCCAACCTCCCATACATCCAACCAACCACACATCCAACCACTCATCCAACCAACCACTCATCCAACCAACCACACATCCAACCAACCACACATCCAACCAATCATACATCCAACCAACCACACATCCAACCAACAAAATATCCAACCAACCATACATCCAACCAACCACACATCCAGCCAACCACTCATCCAACCAACCACACATCCAACCAACTATTCATCCAAAGAACTAAACAACCAAGAACCTGAAGCCAGCATCTTTTCTCATGTTGCTTCTAAATAATCTAATAAAATAGTTCTTT